GTCCATCACATGCTGTAAATTTATGCGTCCATAATTTTAAGGTTCTCCCCCATCAGGGACTACGTCCATTAGATGCTGTATTTTCTAACCATTATTTTCCCAAACATCATTTGATGAAGCTATGCTGTAAATGTATGTGTCCATAATTTTAAGGTTCTCCACTACCCGGGACTGTCCATCAGATGCTGTATTTTCTGACCATTATTTTCCCAAACATCATTTGATGAACTCCCGTCCCCCCGCCAACCTTAGGCTCGCCCGTCCATCACATGCTGCCCCCGCCAACCTAGGTTCGTCCGTCCATCACATGCTGCATATTTATGTGTCCCGAATTGTTAACCATCATTTCTTGGAAATAGTTCCACAAATGTTGATTTTTATTGCTTGACGGCAGGCTGGTGGTAGGCCAAAACCTACTTTACGTAATGGTATCAGTACAGTATATCAGATGTGTCTAGGCATAGAGAAAATAGATAGTTCTATTTTCTCTATGGTCTAGGCCTACACCAGGTCCGACGGTGTCGCCCAAAGAGAAGCCTACATTACGTATGTGTCTAGGCCTAGGTACACCAGGTCCGTCAACTCAGCCGTTAAAGTATACTAAAACACTAATAGAACACACAGAACACCTTCAAATAATAGCACAAGTAATTAAGGGGCCGATATGCCACAACTATCTCAGTTTGCTCAATGTTTACTGTGTAGTATATGCAACACTTCAACTTCAACGGTACGTGATTTATGTTTTACAGATAAACAAAATGCAAAATCATATGATACGCTAACGGCTATTCTTAAGGAACACTATAAGCCTACAAGATTAACAATATCTGAGAGGTTTATGTTTAGAAACACAAAGCAAACACCAGGACAAACTATTTCTCAGTTCGTTTCACATCTGAAAAAGAAAGCTACATATTGTGCTTTTGAAGGAGATGCATTGCAAAATGCTTTGCGTGATCAGTTTGTATGTGGACTATTGAGCACGAATATTCAAAGGAAATTGCTATCTAAGGACCATACTTTCCAGCAAGCTGTAGATGTAGCAATTGCAGCAGAAGCAGCAACGACGAATATGAAAAGTATGACACACGAAGGTGAGAAATCAATTCACCAATTAACGACACAGGGACATAAACATGTGAAAGGCTATCATCAGGAAATTAAAAAAACACGTCAAAAATGTGATCGTTGTGGATTGAGTAATCATACACGCGATGCATGTTGGCATAAATATGCCACTTGTTTTAAATGCAATAAACAGGGACTTTTGAAATCGGAATGTAAACAAATGCAACCCAATCGAGGACACAAAAATAGTACTCGACGACGAAATTTCATCAAACAGGTAGCAACACTGGATGACTATGAAACATCAGGTAATGACATTTTTGTTGACTCAGTTTTTAGTGTTGAACAAGACAATTTTGTGCCAGCGATGATAGTACGATGATGATTACAGAAATAAGCTAAGTCACTTACCTTTAAATCCAGTCAAACGTTCTCTGCATGCATACGCAGGTACTAAGCTTGAGCTAGCTGGCGAAATTCAAGTAAATGCAGGGTTGGGGGGGGGGGGGGGGGGGGGGTGGCTAAACAGGCTTTCGTCCCCCCCCCCGCCTAAAATTTCATAGCCATTTCTTTTTAACTGCTTTTTGAAGGTCCAAATTAAAATATTGTTTAATGTTTTCTTCACACACATCATATTTATGAGCTAAACATTTTACAGTAGTTGTTTTTCAGTGATAAAATAAAAATGAAATACGTTTTTTAACCGATCAGCGGACAAAAAACGTAGCTAAGAGAGCTGGTTTTGCCTTGCCTTCATGCTCAAATCTCCAAGCAAAGGCCGTTGTGTAGCGGTCTCAACGTAATTGTATAATACACTAAACTTTTCGTGTCGCGCGGGTTTTTTCTTGTCTAGTCTTTCCTTGATTGCTTGCGGTCAGAGGTATTTGAATGTTTGAGAATAAACTAATGATAAACTGAATTTTCGTGTCGAGCGAGTCGTTCTTGTCTAGTCTTGTCTTGATTGCTTGTGGTTTAAACGTTTGTATGATACACTAAACATCTCGTGGGGTCGTGACAAAGTGCGAGCCAGCGAGTCATGCGAGCCAATGCGCGAGCCAGCGAGCCATGCGAGTCATACATTTTAAATCCTTTTTTTTTTTCACCGGGAAGCTTTGCCTGTGTAGTCCAGTCATGCGCAGTACATACACTTTTTCGAATCTTCGATCCGGAAGTATGCAGCGCTGATAGAGATGTTGTTAAAATACAGATACAGATACATACATACATACATACAGATATATTTATATATATATGTACTGTATTTATTGATATATCTATTTATATATATATATATATATTATTTTATATATACTGTATATATTTAATTATATATTTTTATATTTATTTGTATATTTATACATATATATATATTTATTTGTATATTCATTTATATACATAGGCCTATGTATATATTTATTATATATTTATTTATATATTTATTTTTATATACTTATTTGTG